GTCTCTCAATACTAACCAAACCACCCAAAACAACAACTAATCAGTTTGCAGTATCTCTCCCAAATATTATATCATATGACCTCTAGTCTATTGAACATCTACCAATCCATGAAATATTACTGTTTGAACAACTAATTGTAATAATTTTTATGTACAACTTCAAGATTATTCTTATAAACCTCCACCTTGACTACTTTGCACTAGTATTAAGATACAATAAAGATTTATTAAAAACTTAACCACTATTATTTTGTCTAGACTTAAGTACAATGGAACCTCAAAAATCGAACTGCTCCCAACACAACCAATTATGTAAGTGTATTTTTGTAAGTACTTTTATAAGTGTATTTTTAAGGGTCTGAAATGGACTAATCTAATTTACATTATTCCTGATGGGAATAAATTCATTCGGTAAAGGCACTCGAACAGACTTCTGGACCGAAGAAAGTTCGATATTTGAGGTTCCACTGTAGTTATTTACTAGGATTAGTCTGCCCGAAATGCCCCAGCATGATAGTGGCTTTCTTTGTACTTAAACCAAAATTGTAATACCACGTTGTAACCTTTGCAAAGAAATAAAATCTTTATTCTTTATTCTTTTTAAGTATGACTAACCTGCTCTCTAAAGGGACCCATCTGCCAACACATACCTTACTAAATATTTAAATACATTTAATTTTGGCCTAGGTAGTAGGTTGGTAGACAGCAACTGCCCAGAGTGGTACTACTGTCCTGCCAATTAAGTGTAAAATGAAAGCCTGTAAGCATTTTACATGATGGTAGGATTGCTGGTGTCCTTTTTTCTGTCTCATAAACATGCAGGATTTCAGGTACGTCTTGCTACTTCTACTTACACTTAGATCACACTACACATACATGTACAAGCATATATATACACACATCCCTCTGGGTTTTCCGCTATTTTTTTCTAGTTCTTGTTCTTGTTTATTTCCTCTTACCTCCATGGGGAAGTGAAACAGAATTCTTCCTCTATAAGCCATGCGTGTTGTAAGGGACGACTAAAATGCCGGGAGCAAGGGGCTAGTAACCCCTTCTCCTGTATAAATTACCAAATTTAAAGAGAGAAACTTTTGTTTTTCTTTTTGGGCCACCCTACCTTCGTGGGATACGGCCGGTTTGTTGAAAAAAGAAAAAATATTTAATTTTGTTATAGAAAAATTAAAAACCTTGAATTGCACTAGAATTTTTGTGTTAGTAGTTTTCATCTGGAGTATACCTGGAGAGGGTTTTGGGAATCAATGCCCCCACAGCCCAGTCTGTGACCAGGCCTCATGGTGGATCAGAGCCTGATCAACCAGGCTGTTACTGTTGGCCGCATGCAACCCGACGTATGAACGACAACCAGGCTGGTCAGGTACTGACTTTAGGTGCCTGTCAGTGCCAGCTTGAAGACAGCCAGGGGTCTATTGGTAATCCCCCCCTTTGTATGCTGGGAGGCAGTTGAACAGTCTTGGGCCCCTCACACTTACTGTGTTGTCTCTTATTGTGCTAGTGGTGCCCCTGCTTTTCATTGGGGGAATGTTGCATTGTATGCCGAGTCTTTTGCTTTCATAGGGAGTGATTTTCGTGTACAAGTTTGGTACCAATCCCTCTAGGATTTTCCAAGTGTATATAATCATGTATCTCTCCTGCCTGCATTCTAGGGAGCACAGGTTGAGGAACTTCAAGCATTTCCAGTAATTGGTGTGTTTAATCACAGTTATGTATGCCGTGAAGGTTCTCTGTTCATTTTCTAGGTCAGCAATTTCACCTGCCTTGAAAGGTGCTGTTAGTGTGCAGCAATATTCCAGCCTAGATAGAACAAGTGACCTGAAGAGTGTCATCATGGGCTTGGCATCCCTAGTTCTGAAGGTTCTCATTATCCATCCTGTCCTTTTTCTAGCAGATGCGAGTGATACAATGTTGTGGTCTTTGAAGGTGAGATCCCAGGTCTTTGACATTAGTTTTTCACTCTATTGTGAGGTTGGAATTTTTTTATGCTTCGATATAGTTTTAATTTCCTCGAGTTTTCCATCTTTCTTTTCTTCTTTCAACAAACCGGCCGTATCCCACCGAGGTAGGGTGGCCCAAAAAGAAAAACGAAAGTTTCTCTTTTTAAATTTAGTAATTTATACAGGAGAAGGGGTTACTAGCCCCTTGCTCCTGGCATTTTAGTAGCCTCTTACAACACGCATAGCTTACGGAGGAAGAATTCTGTTCCACTTCCCCATGGAGATGAGAGGAAATAAACAAGAACAAGAACTAGTAAGAAAATAGAAAAAAAAACCCAGAGGGGTGTGTATATATATGCTTGTACATGCATGTGTAGTGTGACCTAAGTGTAAATAGAAGCAGCAAGACGTACCTGACACCTTGCATGTTTATGAGACAGAAAAATGGACACTAGCAATCCTACCATCATGTAAAACAATTACAGGCATTCGTTTTACACTCACTTGGCAGGACGGTAGTACCTCCCTGGACGGTTGCCATGTACCAACCTACTACCTAGATGTTTTCCATATTGGAGTAATTAAAATTTCCCATCATTGAACTTCATATTGTTTTCTATGGCCCATCGAAAGATTTGGTCGATGTCCACCTGGAGTCTTGCAGTGTCTTCCATGGAGGACTGTCTCCCATGCAAATTCGCGTGTCATCTGCAAAGGAAGACACGGTGCTGTGGCTTATATCTCTGTCTATGTCAGATATGAGGATGAGGAACAGGATGGGAGAGAGTACTGTGCCTTGTGGAACAGATCTTTTCACCATAGCCACCTCATACTTTACTCTGTTTACGATTACTCTTTGTGCTCTATTTGTTAAGAAATTACATATAGATCCATCTACCAACTTTTCCTGTTATTCCTTTATCATGCACTTTGTGTGCTATTACACCATGGTCACACTTGTCAAAGGCTTTTGCAAAGTCTGTGTATACTACATCTGCATTTTGTTCGTCCTCTAGAGCATCAAGGACCTTGTCGTAGTGCTCCAGTAGTTGGGACAGGCAAGAGCAACCTGCTCTAAACCCATGTTGCCATGGGTTGTGTAACTGATGGATATCTAGATGGGTGGCGATCTTGCTTCTTAGAACCCTTTCAAAGATTTTTATAATATGGGATGTTAGTGCTATCGGTCTGTAGTTCTTTGAATCTGAAGAAATACAGGAAAATAAACATGTACCAGTATACCTGGAGAGGGTTTTGGGAGTCAATATCCCCACAGCTTGGTCTGAGACCAGGCCTTGTGGTGGATCAGGGTCTGATCAACAAGGCTGTTACTGCTGGCCGCACACAAACTGACATACGAACCACAGCCCAGCTGGTCAGGTAATGAGTTTATGTGCCTGCCCAGTGCCTTCTTGAAGACAACCAGGGGTCTACTGGTAATCCCCCTTATGTATCCTGGGAGGCAGTTGAACAGTCTTGGGCCCCTGACACTTATAGTACTGTACTGCAATAGAATTAAGAAGTAAATTATCTTTTACCTTTGCTTTTTTTATAAATGGTAACTTATTAAATGGAGAGTTAGAGGTATTGGGAAGATGGAGGGAATATTTTGAGGAATTGTTAAATGTTGATGAAGATAGGGAAGCTGTGATTTCGTGTATAGGGCAAGGAGGAATAACATCTTGTAGGAGTGAGGAAGAGCCAGTTGTGAGTGTGGGGGAAGTTCGTGAGGCAGTAGGTAAATTGAAAGGGGGTAAGGCAGCCGGGATTGATGGGATAAAGATAGAAATGTTAAAAGCAGGTGGGGATATAGTTTTGGAATGGTTGGTGCAATTATTTAATAAATGTATGGAAGAGGGTAAGGTACCTAGGGATTGGCAGAGAGCATGCATAGTTCCTTTGTATAAAGGCAAAGGGGATAAAAGAGAGTGCAAAAATTATAGGGGGATAAGTCTGTAGTGTAAAGCACCCTTCTGGCAAGACAGTGATGGAGTGAATGATGGTGAAAGTTTTTCTTTTTCGGGCCACCCTGCCTTGGTGGGAATCGGCCGGTGTGATAATAAAAAAAAAAAAAAAAAAAAAAGTCTGTTGAGTGTACCTGGTAAAGTGTATGGTAGAGTTATTATTGAAAGAATTAAGAGTAAGACGGAGAATAGGATAGCAGATGAACAAGGAGGCTTTAGGAAAGGTAGGGGGTGTGTGGACCAGGTGTTTACAGTGAAACATATAAGTGAACAGTATTTAGATAAGGCTAAAGAGGTCTTTGTGGCATTTATGGATTTGGAAAAGGCGTATGACAGGGTGGATAGGGGGGCAATGTGGGCAGATGTTGCAAGTGTATGGTGTAGGAGGTAGGTTACTGAAAGCAGTGAAGAGTTTTTACGAGGACAGTGAGGCTCAAGTTAGAGTATGTAGGAAAGAGGGAAATTTTTTCCCAGTAAAAGTAGGCCTTAGACAAGGATGTGTGATGTCACCGTGGTTGTTTAATATATTTATAGATGGGGTTGTAAGAGAAGTAAATGCGAGGGTCTTGGCAAGAGGCGTGGAGTTAAAAGATAAAGAATCACACACAAAGTGGGAGTTGTCACAGCTGCTCTTTGCTGATGACACTGTGCTCTTGGGTGATTCTGAAGAGAAGCTGCAGAGATTGGTGGATGAATTTGGTAGGGTGTGCAAAAGAAGAAAATTAAAGGTGAATACAGGCAGGCAGCCGGGATTGATGGGATAAAGATAGAAATGTTAAAAGCAGGTGGGGATATAGTTTTGGAATGGTTGGTGCAATTATTTAATAAATGTATGGAAGAGGGTAAGGTACCTAGGGATTGGCAGAGAGCATGCATAGTTCCTTTGTATAAAGGCAAAGGGGATAAAAGAGAGTGCAAAAATTATAGGGGGATAAGTCTGTAGTGTAAAGCACCCTTCTGGCAAGACAGTGATGGAGTGAATGATGGTGAAAGTTTTTCTTTTTCGGGCCACCCTGCCTTGGTGGGAATCGGCCAGTGTGATAATAAAAAAAAAATAAAAAAAACTTATTAAAAGGATTCTTACCTCCAAAGAGGACAGAATGAAACCTTGATGGCATTCCTATGAAGTGCTGAAATGTATTCACCCAACTGAGCAATGATGAATAAAGTCCACTTGAGTCATTCTTGGAATAATAGTCTAGTAGAGCAGGAAATAGGGGCAATATCACAGTAAAACCCAAAAGGTCCAATATTAAGCTTATAAACATTACAGCCTGCATTCTGAAAAATCTGAAAAATAAACACTGACATTACTATGGTGGCATATTTGTGGCAACAATATTACCTACCAATACTACAGTCATGATCTGCAACATTAATAATCTATGAATTTAGCTTAAAATGAAACATTTTCTTTTTTTACCACAAGAACTATTTCCTACTAAGAAACTCACTGTACTAGACCCATCAGTAAAACTAAGTTTGGTTTCAAAAAAAAAAAAAAAAATACAAATCACCCAGAACAAAATGGCGAGTTTCATCTTGGACCTGGGTCCAAGAAAGCATGTAAGCCAGGATGAATTACAACTGGATATGCTGAATGTTGAAGACTGAGTAAAACAACTGAAATTTAATCACATTTAAAAAATTGCTCACAAGCAGTGTCCAGAATATCTTCCTGCCAAAGTCTGTCAAGGCTGGGAACCAAAACAACTTTGTAGTACCCACAGTAACTGGTTAGGCTTCAAACACCTTTTACTGTACAACAATAATGGAGTGAAACAGATTGCACTTGTCAAAGCCTGTCTTAGCATATGCCAGCTCAGGAAGTGCTAAAAGGTACCAAATGACTGAAGCTAAAGAATGGGAGTAGAGTGATTTCTCATATAGTTAACATTTGTGTACCTATTATTGTATGCTGATCCTCTCTTTAATGTTCATGTAAATAATTCAGTTTACTGTATTCCTATTACAGTAGGGCCCCACTTATTCGGCAGGTTAGGTTCCAGGTTGCTGCCAGAAAGCAGACTTTGCCGGAAGGCAGAACTCCATTTTTTCCATTTATAAATGCATATAAATGCCAGATAACAAGTTTACACTAACATATATTAAGTTAGTAATAGAACTAGGCATTAAAAAGTAAAATACACATGCATTATTTACCTCAAAATATTTGTAGTCTTAATGTAGGGTAAAAGGTGAGTAGTATTTACTCTAAGAAGTCAGGTGTGGTAGCCCTCCTGGCCACCCCACCCACACATACTATACTACGATGCTTAACCCTTAAACTGTCCACACGTAGATATACGTTTACGTGCAGCAGGCTCCAAATGTAGATCTACTTTTTTTTTTTTTTTACAAGGATGGAGCGCTACGCATATGAACGTAGATCTACGTTTGGACAGTTTAAGGGTTAAAGCTCCCTAGAGCGATAAAATGCATATACAGTACACGCATTACTTCCTTAAAATATTTGGTCTTATTAATGTAGGGTGAGAGGTGAAAATTATTTATCTGTAAAAAGTCATGTGGGAGGTATGGCATCCTGCCTGGCCACTTATACCTACTACGACATTAAGCTCCCTAGAGCGATAAAATGCACATATAGTATACTCATTAATTACCTTAAAATATTTGTAGTCTTAATGTAGAGTGAGAGGTGAGTTTTATTTGTATGAAGTAAAGTTGGGAAGCATGGGTAGCCAGGAAGGGCAGCTGTCACCACCCCACCCACACATAATGTATATAAACCAGATGAATGCTTCTGGTTTTCGTCACAAGTCCTACAAGTTGCCTGGCTACCACAAATCCTGCAAGTCACCTGGCTACCACAAGTCCTACAAGTCACCTGGCTACCACAAGTCACCTGGCTACCACAAGTCCTACAAGTCACCTGGCTACCACAAGTCCTACAAGTCACCTAGCTACCACAAGTCCTACAGGTCACCTGGCTACCACATCTCATATTTATGTTAATTTATTCTACTGTGGGGTGTATTTAGATGGATTACGCAAAATGTCTATATTAACGTTTTATACGATATTTAACCCATAAACGGTCCAAGCAGATCTACGTTCACATGTGTAGTGCTAAAAAAGTAGATCTACGTTTTTTTACATATTTTCAAATATAACAAAAAAAAAAGTAGATCAAAGTTTTTTACACGTTTTCAAATGTAAAAAACAAAAAGAAGATCTACTTTTTTTACATACTTTCAAATGTTAAAAAAACGTATATATACGTTTGGACCGTTTACGGGTTAATGCTCCTTAAAGTGATTATTATTGTGTTATTATCATTATTAATAGGGCATCTTCAAGACTAATAAGACACTCTTAGTGATTTTAATATGTACCTGCATGCCAGTACAGTGTGTAAGTTTACTTAGGTACAGGTACACATACGTATCAGTTATAATAATAATGTAGGTATGTAGTCCGCCTGGGCTACATACCTATACCTACCTACACAGTTCCACGATATTTAATGTGCCCCAGAGCCAAAGTATTATCATCGACATACCATGTTCACCGAGTTTAATCCTTTATAACAACTACATTTAGATGCCATCATAAACAAAGGGAGAAGTAATGAATAATTCAAGCCGAGAATTGTAAACAAAAGCGTTATGTATTAAGGGAAGTGACGTAATGTTTTCCCTCTGCCCGGCTACCACACTTCCATAGTATATAAACAAAATGTTTATGTTTATTTATTTATTAATTTGAACATGATACACCTACCATTCGACTTACGACCGAGTTCGGTTCCGAGAAACCGGTCCCAAGTTGAAATGGTCGTAAGTCAAACTTTACCACTGAATATGGTTTAGAAAGACACGTAAGCAAACACTATAACATATTTATTAGAAAACGTTTCGGTCCTGGGACCTTGATCACTTCTAACATACAGAGGTAGAAAGACATTATATATATAGGCGGAGAGTGAGATGTGACGCACGAGACCTGAGGAATGTCATAAGAACATAAGAATGGAGGAACACTGTAGAAGGCCTACTGGCCCATGCGAGGCAGGTCTTTATCAAAACAACCTCTACCTATGATGAGGACGGGTAGACGATGAAATCATGTGACTCCTGTGTTGTTGGGTTGGTGCTGCTTAAGTATCATGTATGCCAATGTTTTTGAAATTCTTTAGTTTCCAGTGTTGCGTTCTATAGTGTCGGTGACGGTGATTAGTGAGGCTTCTAGGCACCGTCGGCGTCTGAGGTCTGGTTCGGTGAGAACGAGTTGTGCCTCGTTCCAGTTCATCAAATGCCCCGTGGAGTCTCTGTGGAGGACACAGGCGTACCTTACATCGTCTCTGTTAGAGGCATTTCGATGCACATTCAGGCGGACTGCAAGATCTCTCCCTGTCTCGCCTACATATTTCTTGGGACAGAACCCACAAGGGATAGTGTAGACGCCTGCTGTAGAAGTTAGAGGTGTGGGGGTGCGTTTCGTAGTGAGGTCTTTGATAGATGATGTGTTTATGGTGGAAACGTTGATGTTACTCATAGCAAGTGCCCGGCGAGTATTCGTGGCAACATCGCCACATGGGAGTACTATGAACTGTTTAGGGGGCTGTTCCATGGGCGGTTTGTTGAGGATAGCTTGTGCCTTGAGTCTGCAATCTCGGATGAAGAAAGATGGGAACTGAAGGCGTGTAAAGGCTTGTGTTATGTAAGTGCATTCTTCTTCTAGAAAACAAGGGCTGGAGATGCGAAGAGCTCTCAAGAAGAAGCCAATGAGGACTCCTCTCTTAGTGCGGGTGTCTTGGTGTGAATAGAAGTGTATAAGATCGTCCTTGTTGGTAGGTTTTCTATACACTTTGAACAGAAGTTTGTCACTGTCGGGAGATCTGCACAGTAGAACGTCGAGGAAAGGAAGTTTGCCATCATTTTCGAGTTCAAGTGTAAACTTTATTGATGGTTCAACTGCATTGATCTTGTTGAGAAGGGCCTGGATATTGAGACGTCTCGGATAGAAAACCAAATAAAATCATCAACGTATCTTAGCCAGGTAACGGTGTTTGGGAATGAGGGTGCTGAATTTCTCTGTCTCCAGGTTTTCCATGAAGAGGTTGGCAAGCACAGCACTGAGCGGGCTGCCCATTGCCATCCCAAAGCATTGTTTGTAACAGTTGTCCTGATACTTGAAGAAGTTGAAATTAACACAAAGTTCCACTAGATTGATGAAATCTAGAAGAGGTAAAGGGAGGTCGTGGTTTTCAGTGAGCCTCTGTCTCAGAATGTTGATTGCAGCGTCAGTAGGAACGTTGGTAAAGAGGGCTGTGACATCGAAGGAAGCCATGCTTTTGTTTTTGACATTCAGGTTGGAAATTCGGGAGAGAAGGTCACCTGAGTGTTTGAGGTGGGCTTGACTGATGGTGCTCAGAAGCGCTGAAAGGTATTTGGCAAGGTGGCCGGCTAGTCTGTGTGGTGCGCTCCCTATGCTCGAAGTGATAGGCCATAGTGGGATGCCAGGTTTGTGTGTCTTAGGAAGGCCATACAGGCCTTATGTTCTTATGACATTCCTCAGGTCTCGTGCATCACATCTCACTCTCCGCCTATATATATAATGTCTTTCTACCTCTGTATGTTAGAAGTGATCAAGGTCCCAGGACCGAAACGTTTTCTAATAAATATGTTATAGTGTTTGCTTACGTGTCTTTCTAAACCAACTTGTCGGTATTTATTACCAAGGTTTATACCACCACTGAATATCAACATCACATTTTTGTAATGACTTTATTTTATTGTTTTATTTTGGTATTTCATGTTTTACTTTACTTTTTATGCTGTTAGTACTGTATTTTATACTGTAAGGTTTAGGATGAACACTGTGTACAACACAAATAGTTGTTTATTTCCCAGAAATTTGGCATAAAAAACACGGTCGTAAGTCGAGCAGGTCGTAAGTCGGATGGTAGGTGTACATAGAAGTACGAGGAAATACAGTGGTTAAGTGTAACATGCCAAAGCCCCTTGTATGCAGAGCATTATGAGCAGGTTTAAAATTAACTTGAGATTAACTAAGCAATGAGATATTCAGTGGTAATCATTATTGTAAACAGATAACAATTAAGCACAAATGAGTATTTCAAAGACAGGTCATATGGTCATTTACTGTGTTGCTGTGTATTCAGTAGAATGGAGTATTCTGTTAAGTAATGTAATTAAAAATAACAAAGTTTGATTGGGTCACAGGTTAAACATTTATGAGATTATTCAGTATTTATTTAGTTGCAGCTGAGTAAGTGAGCAAGTCATGGTCAACTGTATCAAAAG